AAACGTTGCTACAACTTTAAAAGCACAACTATAATGACATGGGAAAATACCCGAACAAAGCTGAATACCATACACGTAAGTAAACAAATATATATATATATCTTTGGTTTTCCATGAAAAACAAACACATTATGAACTACTTCCTTCCAGGATTTCCTTGCCCCTAACCAGGTTGGTCAAAACTCTTTGTGTTGGGATTGAAGTGCTAATTGAGGCTTCCTGTGGGGAACTAAAATAAAAAAGGGTTTTTCCTCATGAGTAGGTTTTGAGTGGGGCTCATGAAGGTTTGTAGGAGCTGGTCGCAGCCAAAAACGAATGATGTCAAGCTGGCCACGACCACCCTAGCCACATACACCCGCCCCTGAGGGAAAACACAACACTGAGGCGGCTCTCAATGAAATTGAGTTTGACACCCCTGTATTAGGCATTAAGTTTCATTAAAAAGAATGAGGTGTTTTTTCAAGTCGTCTTCTAGCACTAGAAGAATAGATAGGTTCTGTACAAAATAATAAGGCTACAATCGCTATTTATAAATGGTTATTAGAATAGATGTTCAAGAGGACATGAAATAAGGAATTTTGATTGTCTGGATATTAGCATGATTAAAATGCTACTTCATAATCTGAATGGTATATTTTTAATGATTTAATATTATAATATTTAAATAAAAACATTTTATGAACATCTATGTAGCATTTTAAGATGCATCCAGCTAATTGTTAGATATGAAGGGCTCAAAAAAAGAGACGTTGGTTCATATAATGTGTTCATATATTATGATAGCTCTAATTGATAGCACATATTTCTTAGATATATGGTATATGGAGAGTATAATCCACAGAAAATATGCATTAATACAATTGTTAGTTGTCACCAGAATTACTTTAATACCACAAGAATCTTGGTTATATTCATATATCTTCAGTTGCATCAATTCACTCAGAGACTTTGTTTCAGTCAAAAAGGTTTTTATATTGATAATAAATGGAAAGGGAAAATTCAGAAATTCAAGAATTCCGTTATGTACTCCTGTGCTACAAATACAGAATTATTCAAGATGTACGTATTCATCTGAAAAAACTGCCAAGTTACTGATTTAAAAATTAATTTTTCTTCTTGCACTTCTTCCTTTACAATAAATGAAAAAACAAACCATTCGGATGAGCAAACACTTTTCTGAGCCATTAGCAAGCTATTACTGTCTTAAGCATTGTCACACAACAGAATTACCTGATGGCCATATTATGTGATGCTGTTCCCAAAGCTCTTCTACCAAGAATGCACAATGCAAAGGAAAGGGTTACTAAAGGAGAATCTTCATCACACTCCAAAGGCTGCAAAACATGTAATATTTGTATTTAGTGCCACACCAAAAGGTCACTCATATTGCAACCGTCCATTACTGAACAGTTATTAGCCCTTCAAGGTAGGTTGGCCAGGAAACAGTTTCCACAAGTTTGCCCCAAATGCCACTTAATGAGATAGGCTGCAATAACAGTCCTGAAAATCTGTATTTTGTTTTCCCTCCTTCTTATGCCCCGGTAAATGAAAGTAGATTCAGTCTGGCCTCTTTCTCATACTTTTATTTTCTGGATTTAACACGCGCTTTGTTTGTGCATATTTACTCCAAGCTGTGACTCTTGACAGATGAAAAATTCCCTAGAAACTGTACCGTAGTAATGTCTGAGAAAAGGATCCTTCAATTTTACAACTTAACATAATGTTTAATTAGTAGTGGTTAATATTAAGCAACTTACTTGGCATATTTTATTGATTCTAATATTTTACTTGGCATATTTTATTGATTCTTTTCTTTTTTTAAAAGAAAAGGCCACATAGGTTTGACTCCCAGCATCTTTGCTTCTTTTCATCCAATCCTGTTGCAGGCACATTATTTTCTTTCCTTGGTCCAAAAACCATTTTGGAGAACAAGTTTAATAACTAACAAATCAAATATATAACCATAAGGTGTGCAACAGCTGTCCTCCAAATGTTTGGAAATTCAACCTTCATTTGCACTGTCAATCAAAAGGCACTGCTAGGAGTTTTTTTTAGTCAGAAACATCTGGAGGACACCAGGTTGCCTACTTTGAACATAAAATAATTTCTTCATGCCATACTTGTTTCCCATTTTCCCCAATTTGTTCTCTTTCAACCTTAGTTTTCAAGGAGCTTTTAAGAGTCACCCCCTTACAAGCCTTTCCAACTTGAGTTCTCCAGATGTGTTGACCTACACAATCCATAACCCTCATCCAGTCTCTCTTTTTGATTGTGCTGGCTGGGGATTATGGGAAATGTCATTCAATAACATTTTGGAAGCACTGGGTTGGGGAAGTCAGGTTGATTTGTTGGGAAATATTTAGCACTTCAGAAAATTTGTGATTTATGATTGGGACTAAATGTGATGAACTTCCTTTAAAAAAGAAAAGAACACCATATTGTAAAAGTGTTAATAAGAACCACTGCAACTACCTACAAAGGGTTATATAAACTTGATAAATAAATGCTCACCTCCACTCTTTTCCCAGCGCAGAACTGAATCCAATCTAAGTAAACACTACAGAAACTTGCTCTGGTGATTCCTTGAAGGCAAGGGACATAATCATCATCAATGTTAATGCTGAACATGGCAAGGTCACGCTCAATATAATGCCATTTGGAGAATGGCTGTAGTGTCTTCTGGAATGATTCATCTCTTAGCCAGGACAGGATTTTGGGGGAGCTTGCAGTAAAATATATAATGCTCTGTAGATGAAAACAGAAATGCAGTTTGCTTTAGTAACTCATTGAACTAGGGGATGTTCAATTATTTCAGACATTAGAGAAATGCCTCCATGGAGGATATGAACCACTACTCTATATTTTCTTCTACTTTTTGTACTCCTGGGTTTTTGCAGGAATACATGCTTATGGCTCAGAAGAACAGGAGGGATGATTCAAAGGTGCATAATAGTAAAAGAAAACTGCAAGAAAGCCAACATTAAGACATTGGAAAGGATTAATTATACAAATGTTATTATACCTGCTTAAGATTTATGAATATCATCCTTCCAGTTTTATATTTAAATTTGCATTTAAACGTGGAGAAAGGGACCTATTCAGTGCAAAAGCCAGAGTTTTAATTTTTTTTTTTTTAGCCTTTGGAAAGAGATAAGCACACCATGCCTTTTAAGGAGATTTATGCTGACACAACACAAATGGGAGGAGGGGAAACCACCCTTTTTTTGAAAAGCAGTCTTGTGAGCTCTCTCCCTCTCTCTTTTTTTAAAAAGAATGAATTGACAAGCAAATGTGAAGGCAGTGTTTAAATAATCTCCAGTAGCCATGCAGTAAATTATTTCAAATATATGCAGAATGGCTAAAGGAACTGACCCACTTTCCTAAGAAGGGAGCAGAATTCTTTTAAAGTTGATAAACAGCCCCTCACTCAAATCTGGTTGTCAACCAGATGGAAAATAAAAAAAGAGGAATGTTTAAAAGAAGAAGGCTGAGATATATGTCTGATGTAAATGTAAATATATGAGTGTTACAAAAGCCACAATGAAAGAAATGAAACATACTGTACACTGTACATACAGCATATTTTATTTCTTGCATTGTGGCTTTTGCATTGTGCAGGTGGTCCTTGACTTATGACCACAATTGAATCCAAACTTTCTGGGTCTAAGCAAGACAGTTTTTAAGTGACTTTTGTTCCACTTTATGACTTTTCTTGCCACAATTGTTAAACAAATCCCTGCCTTTGTTCAGTTAGTAACCCAATTGTTCAGTGAATCTGGCTGCCCCATTAACTGTGCTTGCCAGAGAGTCACAATAGGGGATCACATGACTCTGAGCCACTGCAACCGTCATAAATACTTGCCAGTTGCCAAGTGTCTGAATTTTGATCATGTGACTATGGGGATGCTGCAATGGTTGTGTGAAAAACGTTCATAAATCACTTTTTTTCAGGACCGTTGTAACTTCGAAGGGTGACTAAATGAATGGTTGTAAGCTGAGGACTACTTATTTTTAAAAATCCCATTAGCTGCTCAGAGTTGCTTTGCAAGTAGGCGGCCATTCCACATAAAATGAAAATAATAAATCAATAATAGACAGCTTTCCTGCAGATGACTGAATCATATTACCTTTATGTAATATCTAATGAGTATCCTTCGCAGGTCAAACACTTGGAGCATGGTGGCTGCACTATTGTCAATAATATTGTACCCTTCTAGAATGTACTGAGTCCGTGTTATTTCCCAAGTCAACCATCGAAGGTTGAAAGCTGCGTTGCATGAGAGCAAATGAGGGAAGTGGCCTGGTTTACAGCAGCAGCAGTTTTCATTGTCCTCATCTCCTTCTGTTATAGCCTCCACTTCCCTTTGCTGGCAGTAAGTCCCTTGGAAATGAAATACAGGATAATCACAATGGCAGTAACTGCAGAGCTCAGTGCAAATAAGCTCTTCATAGAAAATTGCTGGCTCTCCTTTAAATAGTTAATATATACCAATTAAACCAACCAAAGGGAGAGTTATGGCAATAAATAAAATGGGCTGATTACACTGTGCCGAACAGAAACTGCTAAGGAACAGACTGTTTATTTCACCTTACTAAGTAAATCATGTCAGATTCTATGCCATGGTCTAAAATTAAATAAAATAACAATAACTTCCAAATACTTTGCCTTAAATGTAGAAAGAAGCATATGCAATTCAGATGTGCATGCCAAGTTTTAACTTTCTAAATGGCTTAATCATAAACTCAGAGTACCCTTTCTAGTTTTATATCATGGCTATGCCTGTTCAACAGCCAGGCCATAACAATTTAAGAAAGTTTTGTACGAAAGGTTTTATTTGTTAGTTCTAATAAAATCCGGTCTTTTCAAACCAGCTTGGATCTAAGTGATCTGAGAAAGTAGGTGGATAGATGAACAATCCTATAATTGAATTTCATTAACCCCAAATCTAAAACAGTTGGTCCTAGGATATATCTCTTATAATACATTTATAAAAGCATAGGTATTGGCTTGAATAACACATCGGATTACTAGTGCAAACTAAACCTCAATCTGCTATCTCAGATCCACACAAACAGCAGGAAGTATTTGTGTAATAGTTATACTCTACAACATTCATATAACATTTGAACATCAAGTTCCTAATAATTAGAAAGAGATATCACTTCATGACTTAAAATAAATATCACCAGCATAAAGAAAGAGAAAGAGAGAAAGAAAAGAAAAAATGGAATATGTATAAACAAAGACAGACATAGGCAATATAAACCCAATCCAAAAAACATAAATAAAAAATAAAAAAATAAAATAAAAGTATACATTGACTAATAAAGGCAAAGCTATTAAGTCAACATAAATATGTAGATATTGTGCTCTGCTAACTGAGGTGATAATATATTTTATAATTATACCCTGTATCCTTTTTTTATTTGTTCTTGTTTATTGATTAATAATATCACCAGAAGCCTCCTCAGTAGAGCTTTTTGGCCTGACCACATCTACCGTGTTTCCCCGAAAATATGACCTATCCCAAAAGTAAGTTCCTAGCTTGATTTTTACATGTGTGCCCAATACAAGACCTACCACCAAAATAAACCCTAATTAGACCCTACCCACTCCAGGGTGCACAGGTAAAAATGAAACTAGGGTGGGGATGGGGGGTGGAGCTGCCCTACTACTTACCTTCGGACAGTTGTAGCCAGGCCTCGCACATCGCGACACCTGCCTTGCCAGCCCATTTCTTCTGCAGCCATCAAAGCTTTCCTGAAGGCCTCTGCAGCTGTTAACAGCACCAGATCAATCCAGAGCTCTGTTATTGTCTGCAGAGGCCTTCAGGAAAGCCTTGCTGGCTGTAGAAGAAGTTTCTGAAGGCCTCTGACAGCGAAAGGGAGGCCAGGGGCGACACATGCAAGTGGGGTGAGTCCGTGGAAGACATTCTCCCCCCAAAATAAGACCTGGTGCCTTTTTTTGGTAGCAAAAAAAAAAAAATTATAAGACAGGGTCTTATTTTTGGGGAAACTATATTTCATTTTTGGGTAATAATGAAAATCAAAATATGCATAATTTTGAGGTATGTAAATGCGTACTATTCAGCGCACACATCATGAAGCATATTGATAAGATATTAATCATAAATATTTAGATTCTGTTATTGCGTAAGTGTATCGTTTTAATGTCTCTTATTACAGAGATAAGAAAAGTCAAGCTCTAATAACACTGAAGGTATGTTCACATATAACAAAGATAATCCCAGATTATCCAGTATAGGTTTCACTAGGAGAGAAAAAATAAAAGCAAAGCAAAATGCAATCTATAGAACCAGGAAACAAGAGCTATTAATAATGAAGGCTGAAGCTTTATAAAATGTTCCTTGGGAATGTACTAAATACTATTGAGTTTAGTGGGATTCACATCTAAAATAAATATAGAAAAGTCAGGAGTGCAAGTTTATTTCATATTACTAATATCTAATGGGTCAACGGGTCACTGTTGTGTTTAATCCCCATGGAATTAGATATTAATCCCCTGTTTTACAATAAACCAGATATGAGACATGAAAACTATTTCGGCCCTGGAAAGAATGGGTCTGGCTGTCACTTTCCGGCAGTATTTGTTACACAAAAACTCCTTATGTCGAAGAATCTGAAATGATTTAGCAGCTACTCAAATTTCATGCTAAATTTCAGATCCACAAAGAGCATGCAAGGAATGAATTTTCTGCTTTTTCTTGACCGCTGTTCTTTAAGCTAAGGAGAGGCCTTACCTCGAAATTCTAGCCCCCTGAGTTGGAATGTGACAAGACCATTTCCAATTTCTATCAAATGAACAAAAGCATTTAAGTAATCAGATGCCAAAATAAAGCAGTCCCCGGAACTGTAGTTTCCCCAGCGTCCAAGAATCAAATCTCCACAAAGGGTCTCCTGCAGAGATCTTGTTAGGTGCTCGTAAAAGATGGAGTTAAGGTTATCATCATTTCCTAAAATCAGAGGAACACAAAGAACATAAAAGGGATGAAAAAAGTACCAGCCACGAATCTTTTGAGAAGAATCCTATTTTCTTACTGCTTGTTTAATAGCCAGTTTCTTTGTGGAGACTGCAATGGGAATTTTAAGACCACTTTTGTCAAAAATATATTATATTTTACCTTGTTCCCTTTTACCACCTGTATCAGGGACTACTCGTACTGTCATTGTAAGGTATTTCTTAGATCCTAAAGTAGGTTAGTAGAATCTGAAGGTTGGTGGAGCTTTTCCTACAACCGAAAGATCGCATCTTTCATATAACCAACAGATCTAAACGGCTGGGATCATCTACAAAGTAGTTTTTACACTTTATTCTATTTGTAGAAATAGCTGAAGACAAGTGTCACTAATAAATATTAGGAGTCCTTTTTGTGATTTATTTCTGCTTGTACAGTTCTTGAATATTGTGATTCCACCAAGAAATCCAAAGGCTTAACTAAATCAAGAAGTGATGTATTTACTGTATGCTGCTGCTGAGTGCACAAGAAGGGATTGTGTAGGTAGAGCGCTACCTTACAGGAAAATATATGGGACACTCAATCTTGCCTGCAAATGTACTTATTTGCTCCTTCTCCCTTCCACAATGTAAATTACGTGGCCTATAACAAAGCAAGTGAAGAAAACTGGATTCTTGAATCATACCCATTAGACTTCATTACACAGCTGTAGCTTCCAGATTCTGCCTCTAATTGCCTCATTTAAGCCTGACAGCGAAAAATACTCGACCATGATTTAATTCTATGAAAAGTTAATAAATACATAATACAGCTCATGCAACTACACTGTGGCTTAAGTAACAGGGCAACATATGCTTCTGTTATGAGACAATGGATTAAGCTTTTTAGTTTCTTTCCTTCCAGATAAGCAGTCAAGGGCATCCCTGCATTAATAAGCTAATTAAAACCTGAGAAAAACAACCACATTTTGGAATTCAAATGGGAACTATGTAACAGTTTCATTGGGATGAACGAAAATCACAGAACAATGCCTTATACTTCTGAGCTTCTTACACTTGAAATTTTAAAAAAAGAAAAAAATCTAACTGAAATGGAAAGGAAAAGGTAAAAGCAGCTATTGTAAAATGGTAACACAAAATGTAATAATGTAGAGAAAGCTAAAAGCATTTGGAAAAAGTACTTGGTGTTGGTATAATTTCTGGTGAATTTTTATGAAGTTACTGGTCTCATCTATAAGTCTGTAATGGCTCAAAAGACAACAATGAGCTTTATACTACCTGTTACATAAAGTATGCTGGTGTTTTTCACCTGCTTGTTTTTGTGTAATCAAGGCTTGATTTATTCAGAATATGCCACCATCCAAACCAGTGGTGGGATTCAATTTTTTTTTTACTACTGGTTTTGTGGGTGTGGCTTGGTGAGTGTGGCAGGGGAAGGATACCATAAAATCTCCAGTCAGAGGTGGTATTTGCCAGTTCTCCAAACTATTTAAAATTTCTGCTACTGGTTCTCCAGAACTGGTCAGAACCTGCTGAATACCACCTCTGATCCAAACAAATGGGACATACAAATGGTCAACATGACACTTGGTTTTATTATTAATTCAATGGGTGATCAGTAGTAAATAGGTTTCAGGTTAGAAATGATGGATTTAGAACATCAAAACTCTTTTACACCTCTTCTAAATCAAAATATTTTTCTTTGCAAAACCACACTATTTCAAAATTTAAAAAAAACCTGTTTTCATTTCATTATATTGATGTATGTATACTGTATATATAAAACACTATTATACTATGTATTTATATGTAAATATAAATAAAGCTATATATTCCATTTTATTTTATTCATACTCATATTATTTTTATGTCAGTCTTTGACTCATGGAGCTACATTTTCTTTATGCATCAAACATTGCCATTTACTCAGTGTTTATGATTTATATCTTGCTTTTCCCCCGAGGAGCAAAAAGTAGCATGAGTACAACTGTAAATGAATTGGATTAAGCTTCCCTTCCAAAAACAGAACACAGCTGTCTTGTGTGAAAAGAACTAGGCACTTCTATTAACACAAAGTGTGCGCAATCTTCCATGCATAACATCTCCAGAAGCAAGGAAGCACTAGTCTCTCAAAGGCATGTGCTCAACTGGTACAGTTGGAATCTTTTAGCAGCTCTTCTACAAAAGTTTGCAGAACAGTTTTCCTGGAACATCTTCTGCTGGTCTATCTCTGAATCCAACTCAATATGTTCAATATGTTGAATAAACTTATCTTCACAAACAGACATTTAAAAAAAAAATCTGTTTCCTACCTGCATCCTTTTCAATCTGGAGTACCAATCTTGTGTTGGAATGGTCTGCTCTTTTTGTGCTGGAAAGAAGATAGGTACCTATAGATTATGTCAGGTGGTGGACAGGGAAATTTTCTCTTAATGTATTTGTGCATAATTATATATTTTATATATTTTAATCTGGCTTCTCCAGAATTTAGCTCTCTTTTCTTACGGTCTAAATGTTCCCTCAAGTTGCCAGACGCCTAAAAAAAACACCACCCCAGTTTAATCAAAAGGATGCCCTCCTGCAGTGGGATTATAGGGAACAAATTCAGCACCTCTGGATAGAACAGAATTTGGGAAGTGAACGAGTAATTTTCAGCTCTACCATAGGTAGTCCTCAACTTACAAACATTCATTTAGTGACCGTTCAAAGTTATAACAGCTCTGAAAAAAGTGACTTATAACCATTTTCACACTTACAAATGTTGCAGCATCCCTGTAGTCACATGAGCAAAATTTGGACGCTTGGCAATTGGCGTGTATTTATGATGCTTAGAGGGTCTTGGGGTCATGGGGTCACCTTTTGCGACCTTCTGACAAGCAAAGTCAGTGGGGAAGCCAGATTCACTTAAGAACCGTGTTACTAACTTAACAACTGCAGTCAACTGTGACAAGAAAAGTCATAAAACTGGGCACAACATAGCAGCTGTTTTGCTTAGCAACAGAAATTATGGGCTCAATTGTGATCGTAAGTCGAGGACTACCTGTATTTTCCTCTTGCTTACTCATTATTTATCCCTTTGTATATTCATTTTTTAAAAGTCATTCTGTTTTCTCTTAATTGCCCTGCTAATTGAGACTGACATTACCATAGATATAAATCATATACATACACTAGGGCTTGTGGGATCATTCAGTTCAGTAGCTTCACTTTATCTGTATGACTAGTCAGAAAACATCAAACCACAGAGTTGGGGGAAAGAAAGCTAAACACTAGGCAGAAAATTTGAAGCACTGTATTTTTCAGAAAAAGTTCACCCACTTTCAGTTCAAAAATATTAAGAATGTATAAAATATCCACAGGGTTGAGCATTTATAATGTTCTCTTAGGAACTCACAGAGATTAGATTGCTCTTGATCCTGCTTGTCTTTCAAAAGATCTTGAGAATGTGGTTTTGTCCTCAAGTATGGGGATCAGTAAAAGAGGCAAAACTGGCTCATTGATTGTTTTTGAGGGTAAAATTCTACTAAGAATTTTATGACATTTTTGATGGTTTTATATACTTTTGTATTGTTGGTTTGATGTTTGTAAGCCACAGAAGGATACATATGAGATGGGCAGCTGTATAAACTGGAATAAACAAACAAACAGATGAATGATAAGAGCAGAATTTGGAATGTCTTGGTTCCATGGGGGGGTGTTTATCTGTCCAATAAGTATTAATCTTGCTACCTCCAGTCCAAATCAATTTAATGAAACTATTCAGAGTCTGGAGAGCAAGAGCTTATAATAAAATACATCACTCCCACTTTCTTATGAAAAAAGAAGTAAACCCAAAACACAGTCATAAGATGGTAGCAGAATATAGGATTTACGGTACTATATTTGAGCTGTAAACATCTACATGCCCATTAGATGGTAACAATACGTTTATAGAGTTTTTGTAGTTCTCTGCTGCTATCTAGTGATTCAGATTTGGTATGGTAGCCTAGATGTGGTAGCCGTAGCATTTCACTGCTTAATAGACATTAACGTTTGATCACTTGTTTGTTGTCTCTTTGCATCTAAAGAAAATATTAATATCACCATTTCAAAAAATAGTTATTAAAGATAAGAAAAACATTTGCTTTTACAAGGAAGGATGCGAATAGAATGCTAGTTTAGAGAAAGAAGTAGTTTTTACTTAAGATTTTGGGTTGTTTTTTTTTCAGCAGATAAACTGAAATCCTCATTTATAGGTTATAAACAATATGTTGCACCTATATGTCATAAAACTGACGTATCACCTTTAAAACATTGCAAGGATATTTTAATAACAGATTTATCAGGGAAAATAGTATGTAACATAGAGCAGAGAAATGCCCAGTACAATTTTACAGTAAGAGAGCCAATAACTCCAAATTTATACTTATTTTTATTCTTCTAATTTTGAGCTAATTCTGGTTATTTAAAATGACAATGGCTATTTTAAAATATAAGTAGTGGTGTTTACTAAACTAAAACATTGTGAACATTTTGGAGTCATTTAACTATGGATTACATCTATTTTACACTTTTAAATATCTTCATTATTATGGCAGCAACATGTTAAATGCTATAAGGATTGGTCCAACTTTAAACTCTAATACTCAACATTCCAAACTGAGCTGAATATTCAACCATGGGCTTTCAGCTGTCAGGTATGATCTCTTTTAAAAAATTAACTCCTGGGACAACTGAGCAATTTGGCTTTTCTTCAGTGGCTTCTTACTTGGAATTTTTTTCATACTGCTCAGTCAGGGTGATAATTAGCTCAGTAATTGAATTTCTTCATGAGTGGAGTTATTCTACACAAACTGAGTGCAGGCCCTCTGGAGTTTGTTCAAAGAAGTCCATAGAAATGCTTAACATTTTCTGCAAGGAACCATTCTGAAAGACTCCTTTGGATTTTTTTTTTAAACCCACATTTTAAAAAAAAATTGTTAGAAAAACAAATGGAAAAGTATTTGTGTACAATAGTTTTTCATATTGCATTCCTATGGTGATGAGACATCCTTTATTACATCATTAACCTGAATAACATTCTAATTTCCCGATATGCTTTTATGACATCTTGTTTAAAAGTCAGAAAAGTCAGGGACAGATCCATACACTCAATAATTTTGTGGTGTCCAGTTGTGATTATGAAGAAAGGGAAAGTCAGTCTGCCCATGTGCAAAGTTACTACATTGCTTATTAGGATGATCATATATAGCTGTGCTAAATCAGATGACCACTAGCTGGCAACAAAATGATCAAGAACACCGTTTCTCAAGCTTGACAACTTTAAGTGTGGACTTCAACTCCCAACATGGCTGGCTCGGGAATTTGTGTATCTTAACGTTGCTAAGGTTGAAAAACACTGATCTAGAAGACTTGAACTCTGTGTGGCTAATCTAGGTGGTCATCCAAATTTATGTATGTGATGGCACATGAGAAAGACCTTGGGAGACTGGGCCAAGAGATGCAACCAAAGGAACAGTCAGGTTAGAGACTGTCACTTTCTGACAGTGAGAACAATCAACCAATGGAACAGCTTGCCCTCGGAAGTTGTGGGAGCGCCATCACTTGAGACTTTCAAGAAGAGATTGGACTGCCATTTGTCAGAAATGGTGTAGGGTTTCCCACTTGGGCGGGGGGTTGGACTAGATGACCTACAAGATCCCTTCCAACTCTGATTATCTGTATCTGTATCTAATATAGCTGGCAACTGAATAGCTGGCAGAGCAAGATGCTCAAAAAGAACCATCTTTTATTTGAACTGTAAAAGGAGACAGGGGAACAGAGTTTTTTGCTTACTATTACTAATACTTACTATTGGCCTCATAGGGTAAATCAGATAGGATTTATAACCAGGTGAGCTACATTGTAAAGCTACATTGAACCTTTTGCCCTGTCCACTATTCAGTCATGGACTATGCTGTCTCTTATCTGACCGTTCCCTTGGCTCATCTCTTGGTCTAGTCTCCCAAGGTCTTTTCCACATACCATCACAATATGGTATTAAAATCTGGCAACTCTAATGCTTACTATTTACTTGTATATTCAAGACCATGTTTGTAAAAAAAAATAAAGTTTAATAATATATGGAATTCTTTGTGCTCTTTTCCTGTAATTTCATTTCTAAATTATAAGTATTCTTTTCTTTTCAAAATCTCTGCCTCTTACAAGAGGTACTTTGCTTTTACTTATAGTTTAATTTTTGAAACATTAAGTCTGTCGTACTGCTTTACTTGAACAGATAATCTTCTGGTTCTCCCTCTTCTCTGACTTTGTTGTTTTATTCTTACAATTCATTGCCAGTGTACTTGTCTAAGAAAGGAATCAATTGAAAAATGGATCTTGGATCTGCTCCCACTTCCTATTCATAATCATGCTGTTGCCAACTAAATTTATATGCAAAACATATAAATGCAGGCAAAAATGGAAAAGAAGAAAAAGAAACTGGTATAAATTTTAATGGTTAAATTACTATATTTCTAGTTCTGTGATTCTTAGTATTTTCTTAAAGCTCACAACGCTTCCACTTATTTACTTTGTCAATTACAGGCATTAATTCAAAACTAATATACTTCTCATTGTACATTGCATTTTTTGACTTTTCTATGTTTGATACTTTAGGTCAATCAAAATCAATCTAGTTTTTTATTCTTCAATTAACATTCGGAATACCCATGCATCATGTAACCTGATTTTTTGACATTTTTTATGGTAGTCATTAAGCAAATGCAATGGTTATTAAGCAAAAAACAGTAGTCCTTAAGCAAATCAATTTTGAGTATTTTTTTTTTCTGGAAACCAGCAAAAAAAGGTAACAAATTATGGTCACATGACATCACAAATGACTGTAAAGATGAACCAAGTTGCCAAGTGCCCCCAAATGTAATCATGTAATTACAGGGAGAGGTATGGCCATAGTAACTTCAAAAACAGATCGTCCTTAGCTTTTGAGGGATCTGTCCTAACAATGAACAGTTAGGCAATCAGTCATAAGTTGAGGACTAACTGTATATATCTACATTTATACATACATACATACATACATACATACATACATACATACATACATACATA